AACTTGGGATGCTCCAGAAAATCAACATAATAAACTCAAAAGTAACGTAAATTACAAGTATAGTGAAAAAAAAAATAAAAAAAATCCTATTTTACCAAATTCATAAATTTTTTAATATATGATGTAGCATATGGTATTTACTTGGCTAGCTGGTTTTAATTAAAAGGTATTGTATCAGAAAAGTTTATCTATATTAGCTCAAGATGTTACCATTAGGTCGATAAAATCCCGAATTAAGTTACAAATAGATGTTTCAATAAGTGGTATCAATATATAATAACTAAAGATTGTTAGATTCTTGTTACTATCAATTGATGAAATTAACCAAATTTGCAACTATAAAACTTTTGTCCATATTGTTTAGATTTAATCTGCCTATTTATTTTAAGTTTGTTTGACTCTTTTTGTGTAGTGACTATTATTTTGTTTTGTTTTAATTAATGACTTGTCTAATTACATTCTAGCACCAATGTATGTATCTACCACTTGTAAATTGTAATACATTTACCAAGACTTTCAAAATTAGCAGATGATATTTTTCCGAATATTGGTTGTTCAATGAGGGTCAATTGACGAGGAAGACAACAAAAAATCAAGGTTCATATTATAAGTCATCTTATAGAAAAACAATCCGAGATTGAGCTCGATTTTTAGCTCGTTAGAGGCTCAAGTTTAATCTCAGCTCAACTCGTTTACAACTTTGATTGATAGCTTTTAGATTAGTTTTGAACTAATAGCTTATGACTAATTGTTTAAAAGTTAGTTAATATTATAAACGTGTTTGGTAAAAGTTAGTTGATAAGTTATCTTATATAAATTTTTTAATGTAATTTTTTTACAGGTGCATAAACAAATCTATGCGATAAATTAATTCTACCAAATCAAACGTATATATTTATATAAAAAAAAGCTAATGAGCTAATTAAATCATATATAAATAACTTATGGTGCTTAATAGACACAAAATTCACTTCTAATATATAAAGTGACCTAGAAATTATAGTCCTCGTCAACTTAATATTATATAGAAACGAAAAGGGATAAAATTGATCAATGTGAAGATGTTATTCCATTTTCTTACAAATCAACAATCAGTAATACATAAATTGATGTGCAACTTGTATAAGATATATTTTGTGAACTAAAATGAACGCTATTATAATACATTTTTTAAAAAAATTGAATCTGGATTTTTCAATACATCAAACAAACCAAAATACATTTTACGAAAGCCAATCGGATATTTTACAACCTTTCGAGTCTACAGACTCCACACACAAAGGTAGAGAACTGAATACACCCAATACAAATAGAAATTGCATAACCACCCCAAGATTTTTCCTAATCACAAACAATTCCAATCAGACAAGCCTCGTTAGTCGTGACTGAAATGGAGGCCGCTTTTGTAATTAAACAAAATCTAAGGGACATAAAACCATAATAAAAAAAGGAGAAAAATAATTACAAGCCTCAAAATAATACAATTCAGCATTGGGTCCACCCCGCGAAACTCTCGGGCCTCGGCCTCGGGCTCTTATCAAACACAACCGTGTCGCTAAACCTGTACGCAAACCTCACGCGCCCACGCGCCGCCGTTGCGCACCCCTTCATCAGCGGCAGGTCCAGCACGGCGTTCCCGCCGGTCAATCCGGCGTAGTCAAACAGCTCCTTGACCGGCGTGTGGACCTCCCCAATGTACCTGTCCCGGAAGCCGACGAACGGCCGCCGGCCGAATATCTTGACGACGAGCATGGCGTTGTAGCTCTGGACGGCGGACTCACGGAGGGAGAAGGCCATGGCGAAGTTCCAGGCGGGGTTCGATTGTCCGTGCCGGTCAACGGGGGTTCGTTTCTCCTTGCCGGAAACCGAGACCCAGGCATAGGCCCGCGTCGGAAAGAGGTACGGGCGGCGGCGGCGGCCGGTGGAGTCGAGGTCGGTGGCCGAGATTAGGGTTATCTCGAATGTTCTGCGTTCTGTCATAGTGTATGTGGAGAGTTTAGTTTAGTAGAGGTTTTATTGTGGTGGGGTTTGTAATAAGATAATGGTAAATAAGTTGACTAGCTTGTTGATTGAGAAAAAGCA